GTATAGTCAGTAAAGACAAAGGTACCAGTCACAGGCCTGGACAGTATAGTCAGTAAAGACAAAGGTCCCAGTCACAAGTCTAGACAGTATAGTCAGTAAAAGACAAAGGTACCAGTCACAGGTCTTGACAGTATAGTCAGTAAAGACAAAGGTACCAGTCACATGTCTGGACAGTATAGTCAGTAAAGAAAAAGGTACCAGTCACATGTCTGGACAGTATAGTCAGTAAAGACAAAGGTACCAGTCACAGGTCTGGACAGTAAAGTCAGTAAAGACAAGGGTACCAGTCACAGGTCTGGACAGTATAGTCAGTAAAGACAAAGGTACCAGAAAGGGCATTAAAGTTATGGTAAGGAAAGCAAGGACATCCTTTTGCCAATTGAAGTCCGTCTGGGAAACAAGTTCCTTATTAAGAAATATTAATTTTTATAGTGTGTACCAGGATCTGTATTGTATTGTATTGAAGACGGTGTAGTTGTAAGGAGCTAAATGATGGTAAATCAAAACGTTTTCAACCAACTTTCTGCATTTGTCAACACCTGCTTGTAACATATTTGCAAAATTAACTGGCCAAGGAAAATCCAACAGAGACCTATACAAGAGGACCTTCATATAAAAAAAAAATATCACCTTGACCAAATCTATTGTCCTAGGCTCGGTTATAACCGGAACAAGGACATAAAGCCCCATCAATCAATCAATCATTCATTGATCAAATCTTTTTAAACAAGCCCCAAGGGTCTTTATCTATAATCTGTTGTATAATGCTGCAGGCAAAAACCATTCAAAGTCAAACTTCTCATTTCAGTCAATCAAGACTCTTGACTATAGAAATTATATAAAATTATATAATATATTTGAACAACCTTTAATATTAATCTTCCTTCACTTTTTGCAATCTAAAGACCAACACATCTCATTATTGTGAGCAATGTACGTCTTTAAAAGAAATTCTTGACCCATATGGCATTGAAAATAGATCAGAGTAATAACCTCGATTGAGGAAATATTTTTATGCAATGAATACTTCACCACATGTATATATAGCTCCTAGGTAAACATCATGCTTTGTGAAACTTGAAGCTATAAATGCTTTTTAGCTACAATAACAAATGTTGACCTTTGAGCCCTGTGTAATTGGTCTATATCTCATGACTTTAAGAAAATGTTGTTCGAGTATGAACATATTTGATCTCTGTGACCTTGAAAGTAAGTCGTGATAATTTGTTTAAAGAAAGAGTACAATAAGTGACCTCAGGTAGCTACAAGACATTAGACCCTGCATGCCCAGCTCTCAAAGATGACCTTTGACCAAAGCACAACATATAGAAAACACAAAAAAGTGATGACGTCCTATACCCCAATACACAGTATTTGTAATTATAACTTCTCATTGGTTGAAGTTACTCTGCGATTAAATTACTGTGCAATGTTACATTGTGCTTTGTGCAAATTTGTTTTTTAATCGGAACTACGCTATTGATCAGTATATATCTGGCATGACCTAAAAAGTGTGGTCTATCTTTTTAAATTATAGAGGATAACCAGAATGTTTTGGGGATTATACAGTATGTACCAAAAAAATGGCAGGTTATTAAAAGAAACATGATTTGATCAGTCCAGAATAATGAATCAGATTTATCTTTTGGCAAGGGACATAACTCATGTATGCTTAGGGAAACTATGTGAGTTATATTGTTGAGTGTAGGGAAACAGGTTTGATTTTCAGCAAGGGACATAATCCATGTATGCTTGGGCAAATTATGTTAAAATTTTCCATAATTTCACAAGCTTATGTAACAATACGAAAAATGAAAATAATAATAATAATATACAGCATATATATAGCGCCCTATATAATTTGTAAAATTACTCTAAGGCGCTTAATGTATAAATAAATAAAATGTTTATAGTGAACCTTTACATTACTACATTTATCTCATCTGGAGCAATTGATGTAGGAAGCTTGTGAACACCAAGTAATAAAACAGTCCAATCGCAACTTCTCGGCTAATTCCGGCTAAGCGCGGAATCGGTATGCCTAGCCGGAATTGGCCGAGAAGTTGCGATTGAAAACAGTCTGTTCTAATATATCAATTGATAAAATTAAAATTCTGTTCATATTGCATTACATTGTCATTTGACCAACATATCAGATGTATAAATGACCTGTACAGCTGGCATGTGCTCAGAGTGTTGAACCATCCCTGGGATGTCCACTCAAGATTTGGAAGAAGCCTCGAACAGATCTGAGATCCGTTATTACATTAACTTCGCTGAAAAGTTCTAAACTTCATTATCCTAATTTGTAATGTTATGACAAGGGTGCATAATTTATTATTCACAAAACTTAAAATAATTGTACTGGTTAATTAATACCTCTTCATGTAAGTTTTTTTTTTTTTTAGAAAATCAGAATTACTTTTAATGCCACATTCCATTTTATATCACACTTTCCTCTGTGAGATGACATCAGCTGAGATAGAAAAGCTGATGTCCTAAACTTGCTCCTTCTCATCAGCTGTGTTTTGAAATTACATTACTTTACAGTACATTTACAACATGATGTACATCATTCCAAGTATGAAGTAAAAGTTAAAATTTCAAGAAGACTAACATTATAAACAGAAAATATAAAATAAAACAAAGGTAAATGACCACGGACGTAGATAGCAATCGTATTATTATACACAACAAGGTTACCGCGAGCGGTATATAATACGCCCGTCACACATTGAATGAGCAGTTGTTTGTATGATTGAAATATATGAAGTATTTGTGAGTAATTGATATTAAAAGAGAAATCATTCAACATAACTGGTAGATCAATGAGTGCAATACAACATCATGGAACGCATGCATCGCATTAATGAAACCAAGGGTAATAACTCCAGTAATTA